CATAACAGTTTGGCTTTTCACAAGTGACCAAACTGAATCCATCCGTGGTGTTTAATTACTCACCAAATCACCGTATTTTATCACGTTACTTAATCCCGTCTTACTGTTTACCGCCTCGCATGTTTCCTCTAGTGTACGCTTTTTTATGTCATTCTGTGCGCGTATGGGAGACAATGACAAAAGGCAGCTGTGTGAAGCAGACAGATTAGCTTACGCAACTTCAAGGAGACCCGGTGTGGGCTAATCCGTGGCACCATCGCTAGAGTTAAGGCAACCGAGGTATGCAACGACACATACTGCTGGTAAATTAGTGAGCACTCCGCTGTACATACGAAACATCTAAAGCATTTAATGCTCTAAGGACCTGTTCCCATCATCATCACCATCATCGTCATCATCTTCATCATCATCATCTTCACCATCACCATCAGTAGCAAAAACAGAAGAAAACACTGATGATTCACTGCAGTACAAGCATTGTAAATTACTTGTAGAGGAAAAAGAATGTATAATGGAACAGGAAGTAAAACCTAGGTCTAGCCTGCAGCATACACCCGAGATTCCCCACACATTCGAGACATATCAGACGATATGGATAGAAACTGACAACATGAACGCCGTTGGCATATTGATTCATTTCGACAGATATATTGAGAGGAAGGCGTTCATGAGAGCCACCAGCATCATCACCATCGGTTTCATCATCGGCATCGTTATCATCATCGTCATCATCCTAACAAACGTCTTCAATATCAACACCCGTATTCAACATTGACGCTTCTTAGCGTGCATTCAAAAGACTTTTGAAGCCCTTTTCAAAAGAAAAGAATCAAAACGGATAGGGAATATACTTGCTGGCCTACCACAATCATTCCAATGCGCCTATAACACCAGACGATTACTCAGGAGGTCTGAACCAAAAATGATAACGAGAACTAAAATAACGTCGATTCGGGGACATGATTTGCAGCTTCTTCAGCCAATCACGGTGGAAATAAGGCGGTCTCCATCGTAGATGGAGAATTACACCAATAGCACGTCAGTTAGTCGCTTTCATATCCCTCTGCAAGATCAGAGGCGAATCTGATTCGGATGATGGTGAGAAATTTCGGACATGCAACCAATGGTTTGATTATGTTGGGGCCACCGGACGGCCGTGGTGGCTGAATTGCCATAAATACTCTTCATGCTTGAAAACAAAAAAATAAGCGGTTTTGAGAATCAGCTGGAATACCACTGGCTGCTGAATATTACCGGACAAGCCATTCACAGCCGACTTGGCTAAACGCGACACTTTTGCTAAAACTTACCTGTTCCTGAATCTGTAATCCAAGCATACGTGAATTCGTCCGCCAAAAAAACATCGATTTTCTAGTCGAAACAAAAAATCGCAGGATTTTTATCTTCCTTGGCTGAGGTTGTCGTGCAGCCTGCAGGTTTAGGTGTTCAGACAACGGAACAGATAGTGTGGGTCAATATCAGAGATGCGTAAAATAGTGAGGTGAATTTTCGACGACCGAATCGTTGCAGAAATAATGAAGCTGCAAGAGGTTTCGACCTAACACACTATTCAGAACGTCGCTGACGATTCATTGACAGAACAGAATGGTTTTTGGTGCTCCTTGTGGCGAATCAGGTAAGCGCAGTCGTTGACATTTCCTAACATTTTATCAAAACTGAGCGGAAGTTGCCAAGCACTCTCATGAGTGAGATAGTTTTTGGATTTCTTTCGGTCAGCCCGTCAAAATGAAATATGTTTGTGAATATATAATCTGTTTTTTACGGTAATCCCCAAAAACATGCCACTGAAAAGAAGAGTCAAAGATTGTGACGCCGAAGTCATTGGACCTGTTGGTTGATGGGTTGAAGTTTACTTTTTATAAAAGACCAAAGATCCATTTAGAATTTACAATGACGGTATCGACTTGGTATTGGTAGTTGCTGCGATGGAACACCAAAATATCACATGGGTTGCACCGGTTATACAATGATTTCCTCCACCCATATGAAACTGATTCAGCAGCGGAAGCGACAATTATGGATGAACACTGGATTTTGCGCGATCATCGGCTATCGCCGGCTAAACGCTTCTAGATTAGAATCATGTGCCCTTCCAAAAAACACCGCGGAGTGAACAGGCATAAACCGAGCTTGGAAATTCGTTCTATCTTACTGCTCAACGCCGCTTTCAAACCATATATTTGATTGAAATTCTGAATGCTATTTCAAAAGACAGAAATTTATGTTGCTTAATTCCCATATTTGAAGGAAGAACAAGGAGACACATAGAGCCAGAATAGTAAGCCTCCATGTTCAGCAGCAATTGTTTGAATATTTTTTGAATGCATGTAGGCAACGGCATAGTTCAACTCCATGGCATACAGCTGTCGCAAGACAAGAAGAAACATTCTCGTGATCTCCAGATGAAGCAAAGATGAGTCAGTCACCAGCTTCTCATGCGTGTGCTCAGCAGTCTCACTGGATCGACTGCGAAGTTACGTGGGTTGAGCGTCCAAAAAATTAGTCAAACAAAATCAATGTGACGGTGCCATTTAAAGCAGCTTGACAAGACCTAACATGCTTGAATTCCTGGGGATGACGTTCCTGAGATTAACTTACAAAAATCGTAGCTTGTGTTCCATTTTTTGGTTGTTGTGTAGAACAGTTTCATTATAAACTCGATGTATAAGGAATTACCGATGTCAATGCGCCAACATACGTTTACGTAGGCCTTTCCATTCCGTTCACTATTTACCTTCCGATTGAAAAAACTGCGTGCTAAAACCGTGTTTAGCAAAATTAACTAAAGTTACATATTCTTCTAGGAAGGCAATATGGGAAGTCCCAGCATTGACAGAGTAGAAGATGAACACGTTGTCATCAGGACCGTTGTTTGTGGGCAGAAAGGTTAAGGTGGTCTTGAAGAGTAGCTCGTTGTGTTGCGCTTTAGCGCATTGGAAAGCACAACAAAAACCCGCGGAAATGGAGAAATGGCGAACACGTAGTTTGGAAGATTGTTTTGTACACGCTGCTGTATATAATCAGTAGATAAATTAACGTTCACTTGTCTGCTATTTGCATGGCCACATGAATACAGGAATGAAAAATCAATTGTTGTGTCGTCTCTTGGTTAACACTTGTATCATGGGATGTAGTCGCTTCTATGGTTTTAACTTCATAAAGGCGGTTTGAGGCAGTTTACCAGTTTAGCTAGTTTTATCATCTTGCCTTTAGAGACGGTCACACTCAGCTGTTTCAGAAACACGCGTTTGTCAGCATGACTACATCTTTTCAATAAAATATCCACATAATGCATACACTAATGAGGAAAAATATGACAACCAAGGTGAGGCGATTCTACGTTTTGTACATGGGATATCCCAGAAGCCATATGTTCTTAACTAAAACTGATCTGGAAATGTTCCCTTTGCTGGTCGTTGATCAAGATGGTGTTCCTCTGTTCTCTGATCGTACTGGTCAGCTTGCAAATGTTTCAATCCCAACCGAAGTGGCACCATGAGTGAGTGGTTTGGTTAGAAGTTACTAAATACTTGTCTGATATTATACGGCCGCGACTGGCTGAATGTGGCATGTACTTCTCGGGGTCCGAATGGTCAATTTTGAACTGTGCTGCGTTGTGCCTGCCATCCTCCGAATTCGGTTGCTGTTTAAAATTAGTTTCTGTCTGAAGACCTTTTGTTCATGGTCTAACTGATCGCTTACCGATTTCTGTTGTGTCGCAGTATGGCTTTCCACAATCGATTGGCTCTCGCTCCGACTTCTGGTTTCGGTAGTACATTTTGATTGGTTGTTTCTGAATTGCTTTCGTGTTGTAGCCCCGAGTTTTCGGGATTACATCCATGATCACGCTTTCAGTAAATAAAACTGGTTTATTGTGCAGATGAGTTCATCACCTTTGATCACCTATTCCATAGACCATCTCTCCTTCCTTCTCTATCCCAACTAACGAAAAGCGAGATAAAAACATTGAATTTGTTCAACTCAGTATCGAAAATGTTTTAACTACATTTAAGTTCATTTACTTACAAGATCTGTTAACGAATCTGGTTAAAGGAGAAAAGCAGACTAGCCAGTGCAAAAATTGAAGGAAAATAGATGACGTGTACTTGGATTTCGATCATCCAAACAACAGTGTTTATTTGCGTTGTCCAACAACGTGAGTTAAAACAACTCTTGAAACCGAGCAAATCAAAATCGACCGACCCAAAGTTGTAAAATCCAAGCAGAAGTTAGACCATTAAAATCTGCGCATATTTGTAAATTTCCGAAACTTGTTCACAGTGGTGATTGATGCCTATGATTTACTCTTAAACCGTGTTTCCCCAGGGATGAAATAAATCTTTTTCCTGACTTCTGGCAGGCTTACTCATAGAAGTTTGGTACCAAGTTACTTACGAGAATAATAAACGCGCATTACTTAAATCCGAAGACAGTGCCCTGGAACACTAGAATTCTGGCTGTTATCAGCCAGTGCATCCAGAATATCTACTTCCGCGCAAACTCACCTTTTCAGCACCTTCTTCTTGTTGGCTTCAAGTTTCTTATCGCCTTTTGATACTTTCGCGAATTTCTCCAGAGTGACATCCTTAAACGGATAAAAATGCATGACCACTTTTTCCTTTGACAATGGTGTTCCTCACACTCATTCTATTCACAATAAACATGCAGTTGCAATCTCACAAATAACTCAACTCTATGCTTTGCTCTCCAGCTTCATTCATATTATTTTCACGATGGTCGCTGTATGCTGATAACTGAAGAATTCGATTACTCGTCCGTTTGCCAAGCATGGCATCTGTATTTGCTCCTCGAGCCTAGTGCTATTTGTTGAGTTGAACATGGAATACCAGGAAGCGCCACCAGGTAGGCCTCATCTCTACCTCAGTAGCTAGGGAATGCAACATACACGTACGTGAGTAGCACTCATCAGCACTCAATGGAACCACAGTTGGGAATCTCTTATCTTTGATACTCTTTAGATGGATGTGCTGTCCCGGGATATCAAACGTTATTTCCTCGGAGAAAGCTATTCGGGCATTGTTCGTCCTCGTGCACTTTTCACGGTTCATTTGACAACAACGCTAGCCTACTGGATCGCACAACAGCAGAATGTTGAACTCGGTCATGGGCTGCCTGAGAGTTCTCTGTGATCAGTGTTACGAATAGTGTTCGTCCAAGCGGACTGACCATTCTGTAACATAGTTAAACTGAATAAACTGCACTGCGAGTTGTATTGCGTTTTGATCCGCACTGTCATTTTACTTGCATCTTGTGCTACACGGTGAAATGATGCAGCAATTCACTTGATTGCGTCGCAGTAATACACGGGTTTACTTTCCCATGGTAGTCAATCACCACACCCTTGTAGACATGTATGTCCTAGTATTGATGGAACACTTTGCCACTAACCGGATACCGGGAATAAAAGAAAGAATATTGGCAGTGGATTTTTTCTAACATATAGGTCGAATAGAAAGAAATGAAAGGCTCATTAGTGCTGTTGGATGTTGGTTCCCGTGCTTCATTTCGAATGAATTTTCACAACGCCGAGTGTACCTTCTGTCAACCATTCGATTGAGTGTGATTAGTAATCCTATACGCAGAAATAATTTAGGAATTCCCCAATGATCCTCCTAGAATGCCCAACAAACAGAACTACGGATTTGTTGCGAAAACGTAATCCGTTTAGGTAGATGTACATTCAAAGATTTTCCTCCTATTCTGCTGCAGTACAAAACGTTTTCAGCGTAGTAAATTGTCCGCTTATTATTTGCTCGAAATCATTAGCCGTTTGATGTACTAAATCATCTAGATAGCAATGTGATTGCGTTGAGTTTACTGAAAAATTAAACGAGGATACATCATCATCATCATTCAGATCATCATCATCCTGATCATCATCATCGTCATCGTCATCATCATCATCATCATCATCATCATCCTGAACGTCATCATCAGCCTCATCATCTTGATCATCATCAGCATCCTCATCGTCATCATCATGATCATCCTCATCATCATCCTCATCATCCTCATCATCTTCCGAATCATCTTCATCATCATTACAATCATCATCCGAATCAACATCATCATCATCATCATCATCATCTTCCGACTCATCACCATCGCCGTCATCGTCATCATTATCATCATCATCATCGTCGTCATCATCATCATCAGCTTCATCATCCGGATCATCATCATCATCATCATCATCATAACATCAATCGTAGACGTCAGCATCATCATCAGCAGCAGCACTGAAACGGCATCAAGATACCAATGTGAATCATTTCAGACTGCTGAAATCAAGACTGAAACGAGTAAATCGTCGTCATCATGGATATCATCAATATGTGCTGCATGCGTCATGGTTTTATGGCGTCTACGGTCATGAAAACGCCTCAACCAAAGGAAATCTGATATGACGGAAAAACCACGAGACGTGTTGAAGCCAAAAAACGAAGCGAGTTTCTACACTCAAATTTGTTAACATGTAGCAAAAATTGTACGCGATATTTACTTGGTATGGTTTGCAATATCGTCGTAGGCGAAGATATTTATATTCTCCGGTGGAACATTGCTTTTACGCACCAATTGATACGCGTGAAAAACTTCCGCCTGAATGAGAACACAGTGACAGGTGAATTGATGAATTGCGGCGGAGCGGAGCATGGAGGCTAAAGAAGTTAAGCAGATAGAGCAGGATAATCCATACTCGGTGGAGTATCAGTTATTCAAACAGCATTCGGATGCATTATCACATGAACGGGAAGCATGATTCTACTCTGGAGGGGCTTGTGTGCACGGAAGTTCCACATTCAGACAAGTGTCCGAACAGCGACCTGCTCACTGAAGCTTTAATATCTTGGTATTCCTTGACTTCGAAGATACGTCCGAATCTGTCGTTCGCTTGTGTACTGGATAGATAGCCATATCGTGGCGAAACTCAGTGGCTATAAATTATTGCCAACTGAATCTTAAGAATGGATGCACACGCACTGATTTTGTGTAAAATTTTCAATATGATTCTCATACAACCCGATGCAAATGACAGACGAGCGGACGAACGAATTTGACCAAGATGGATTTCTATGTTTATTCCAAATACACGCTACTTGATCTCACCGTCATTTAGAGTGAAATGTCATAGTCACGGAGAAATCTAGGTAGGACACAACTGTTTGGGGGACCATTATTGCAAACTTACACTATGAAAACCCTTTCTTGCGGGATTTAGGTGAACTTCTGAGCCCCAATCCAATAAAAAACCACCAGAACCCTACGTGATGTCGATAATTTTCCCGGGTGTTGGAACCAGCGGCCTGGACAACCAAGTTCTTTAACAGCTTGTTATATTTGGATGACCAATTGTGGACACCGGTGGCTTCCAAACATGGAACGTGATCGATGCAGAACAGGAACGCGAGAAGAAGCGAACAACAACGCATCATTTACCGGCTTACTTGAAGCTTCCTGTGCCTGGAATTTTATACTGTGCCTCCCCTGTGATTTGAACTTTGCCTTACAAATGTATGACGATGGTGTGAAAAGCTATCCACCAAAACATCTGATAGGCCCGCGGTACAAATTTTATGACAATCGGGGTATGATCAACCATTTTGATCAGCTTGTTCAATGGCCGATCATTTGCTCAAACCTTTCTGAACAATTCCTGCATATTGATGATTTGTGGTGTTTTCTAAAACGAATGTGGATCATTTGATTGAGCGCCCGTGTGCTTCAGACAGTACTGAGCAACAAACTGAGTCTGCAAACTGGTTTCAGTTAGCGGCTGGCTAATGAGTACCTTTAATTCAACTTTGGTCCACGGGGATATCAATACGATGTTAAGTATTGAAAGGTCATAGTGGAAATGTGTATTCGGCAAATTTGTGTTTGTCAAGATAAGGCCTGCCAAACTGATTGGACTCAGAATGGAAACTTCTCAAAAGCTTGATATTTATTCACTGCGTAAATCGTCGATTTCGTGACACTTATGGTTGATCGAAGTTGGTGACACCGAATGTCGCGCAAAGCTTTAAACCGAGGAATTTACTTTTCCCCATGGTTTTAGTTTACATAAAAGTACAAGTTCATGAAAACCATTGGATGGGCTGTTTCAAACCAGTAGAAGGTTGCTCTGTAATTTCATCACTTTCTGTCACCTCGGTTCTTGATTTTCCAAATTGTGGCTGTGCGCGGCAAGAGTTTCTTTTATATTGTTTTGATCAGGAAGTGATGATCAAACCTTACAAGCCATATAAGCTGAAATTAGTATTGATGCTCCAATGGTAGTCATTGTATTGATTAAAATACACTTTAGAATTCGGAAGGCTCACCTGAACATGATAGCCTGTTTGGTTTGTGGGCGGCCGGAAGTGAATTGAATCAATGTGTTTTCAATAACCATTTGCTTTTCACGGCTTCGTATAAAGCGTGAACTTGTCAACAACCAGGACCAATCCACTAAGTCTTCCGCCGCCCCCGGGTGCAGCTGCTGGTTGCCTGCATGCCTACAGCGGAATGGCAATTCTAGATGGATGACTGCAACAGGTCTAGACAATAGAGTCTCTTTATTTTCAATATGACTGACCCACTTATCTAACTTACATTCAGATGGAATGTACACTCGAGAAAAATCCGGTTACCGATTGGACGCTGAGACAGTCAACCCGTCAAGCAAAAACATACGATGATGACTGCCCAACCAATGCTGATCCGAAAGCCTGGATTCAATTCAATTCAGTTCAATTCAATTCAATTCAAAATTGCGCGATGCATCATGCCCGTTGTGTTCCTTATCGGTGAGCTGTGGCGAAGTCAGTTCCTCGAAAATCTCAAGAATCACATCAATCAAATATATACCCTCAAGAACAGGGTTTAGTCTTGGGATCACCAATATCCACGAGTTTGGCCCACATTTAGGTGGGACACTTTGAGCAGAAAGCTTTAAACCAATTCGAGTTTTCATCAAGGGTTTTCTGGTGTTACGCAGATGTAATAAAACGGGATCGGCTGACTGAATTCTTTCAATATCTGAACACTTTGAACTCACATTAGGTTTAGCATGGCGCCAGAGTCCCCTTTGTGCACACCAGCTTACCCTGACTGAATGACACACAAGACGGGTGGAAATTTAAAACAAACGTTCACCGGAAATCAGCAAAAAATCGATAGTTTGTAGAGCCTTTTCGGTGTCTAGCTGCCATGCCACTGGAAGGTTGCACGAGGACTGGGATACTGCCAGGTTGCCCAAGCCTAGACAGGGGAAGTCGAAAGACGGAGGTCGGGTTCGAACCACGGATCTTCCAGTTAGTAATTTCGCGCTCTAGTCAATTAGGCGGTCTTAAATTCGCGGTCGTAAACTATTAATCAGCACATCCAGGAGCAATATATGCTAGTATAGATTCAGCGATGTTTAAGAGAGTGAGAGCAGAGTGTACAGAGGAGGTCAACCGAAGAGCACCACAACTTGAGTTAGAAAAGAGACTGAGATCTAGGGAATACATCATGGGTTTAATAAGCAGCAACTAAGACGAGTATTGTTGATTACATCAAGGCCCAACAACAATCAGCGCCCGATGCAGACGATGTTCTCCTTTACCAGAGTATCCATCTGTTAAAATGACTACGCGTAAAGAGCTAGTAGATGACCTGCTCTCCTCTGTGGTGCTTCCAGAACAGCGAGTCGAAGACAGTAATTCCTGAAAATTACGTACATCGTTGTCATTGCGCTGTGTACAGTGATTTGAATTTACTTACGTTCAAGGTTTCAAAAAACTCTTCGACAGCCCACGACGTGTTTCCTCTTTCTTGAACCTCATCAAGTAGGCGAACTCCCCGAGTTTTCGTCCACCATATGTTTTACTTGAACCAGAATTGGTCTGTTTTCGAGAAATACACTTATTTGCAAATCAATTTGGATTTCACGAGAAACTCAAATGATATGATTTTTCTTCAAATGAACGTGCTGCACCCAGGCCGTCTCCTGTTTCAGTTGGCACGATTTTCGAGATATCGCAGTAGATTTTCATAAGGGAAACTACTCACGAGGTTGCTGAACAGCGGCCATTCCATGCAAAATAGGCACAGCTGATGCCTCTAAAACGCTACTGAATACGGCCAAAATCAGAGTAGCATTCTAGAA